GAGTTTTACAATTTGTTTTCATATTAACAATGATACTAGTAGGACTAGGGGACACAAGTATAAATTTTGGCAAGGTAGGAATCATCTTCAGCTAAGACAGTTTTATTTTTCTGACAGCATGTTTGGCCTGTGAAATAGGTTGACTTCAGATGTTGTGGAGGCAGTAAATTTAAGTGAGTTTAAGAGAAAGCTTGATAACTATATGGATGATAAGGGCCGGCTTTAAGATTTTTTTTAATAGTTTTAGTTTAGTTTAGAAGCTGGGACAGCCAAGATGAACCAGTAGGTCCCTTGTTGTGTCTAAACATTATGCTATGTATGAGATTATTCCAACTTTATCACCATTAATAGAATAAATTGTAATTTTGAGAAGGAAAAATAATATTAGTGAGCCCTTGATTACTTAATTGCAATATTTTCCATCTAGAATTGTATTTATTTTTCATTCTTTATTTTTGTTGATCAACAGGACAAAGGCCTCTTACATCTTTTGTAGTGAATTTTGAAGGAAATAGAAAGAGAGAATACTATTTAAGATGAGGAAAAGAAAGACAATCTCCAGTTTAGACAGAGATTTTTCTAACTGGTATTAACTTATGGAGTGAGTTAGCAACTTATAAGAGTTTGAAAAAGAAATTGATAGTTCTGAGATGACAACTTGCTTCCTCACACAGTTTAGCAGTCTTCCACAGCCCTTCGGTGAATCAGCCAAAGAGATTTGCATGCCACTAGTCTTAAGGCAACTCCCATCTAATTTCACATGATTTTATGTGAATTGCACTACTACATGATGAGGTCATCATTTGACAAAAGTTCTCTACCAACAGGAGGTTAATAACTAACTCCCCTATGCATTTGCACTTGTGGATTTTCATTCTTCTCCTTGGCACTGTATTGACTAGACATATTTAAATTTCTTGTTTGTGTTCAATTTATTGAGATTTGTATTGTTAATGAGACTTTGATTTTTGTTTTCCTTAGTGTTCATTTTAAAAACTTTATTTATCATTATTTGTCAAATGATGGTGATTTATACTTAATTCAGTGTGGACATTGTTTATACTTAGGCCTTATTTCTGCTGTGGATTTTGGAGACCTGTAAACTGTCAGGGTCATTGCAGCCATTGTTCAATGTGTTGTATATTACCACTTGCTTCAGAAAAAAAAAACACTTTATAACCACCACAAAAAATATATAATTTAGGGTTTAGAAACACAACTATAGTTAGATCTTTTGTTTGTTTCAGATAATCCTCTTGGAGTATCATGGCAAGACAGTTCTCTTATTCCTCTTCTGAATCCTGGAAATATCATGGATTATTTTTCTAGTAGAAGTAACTCATTTTATGACCGTACTTGTAATAATGAAATTGTGAAGATGCAGCGTTTAAATCCTGAGCATTTATCGTAAGTTAATGTTTTACTTATTAAATTGCAAAAAATCTAAGAAAATTTTTATATTTCTCTGTTAGTTGTTTATTTTTTCCAGGTATATCACTTGAAGTGCATAGAATATGACTTTAATTTAGTAATTAAGATATTTTTAAGTTAAAGAATTAAAAAAAAGAATTATAAGCACATTTTGTTCCATAAATCAAGAATTTTGTTTGGTACTTTTCTGTGTAGAAAGTTTTGTTTGTTATTAAGATAAAATAATGATAGGGCTAAGCAGTCACAAGTCATAGATATATTAATCATGAGTGACTGGCATTTTCAAATCAAATTAAATAATCAAAATACAACACTTTACTGTACAGGGTCAAAAGATATTTACTGAAGTTGCACTTATAAAGAACAAACAAACTGTTTTGATGCACTTTCATTGTCTTTATGAGTGACTTATAAGACTAAGATTTCAGTATTTATACACTTGTTACAAGTCATCTGATATTATGGTCTCCATTATTTTCATCATTTATCTTTTGCTCTTTTCATGTCACCACACCAATACTGAAGTCATAAAAGAACACAGATTTCTACATTTTACACTTATATTTGCAGTGTTAAAAATGTTTACTAGACAGTAAAGTTTAAATAATTAATTGTAATTTATCAAAGATGTAGCAGTTGAAAGAGGATTTAAAACAAATACTGTAGATAAAACATTTAATAAGTTTAGTAAAAGTTCAGTGTTAGTTGAAAATACTATTTTTAAATGTTTATAAAAAAGGAAACTAAGTTTACCTTAAGTTCCTGAATTAACAGGTCAGTTATTTACTGTCTTTAATATACATCAAAAATTCCGTTCCCTCTATGAACAAGATTAAACAAATCTTGGAGAATATCAGTGATGAAACTAGCATTTATGAAAAAAAAAAAGTGTGAAAGTGGTGGATTTTATATTAACCCTACTGACACGAGTCTTCCTATGGTCACGGGTCAGAGTACCATCTCATTTCATTTGTAGATCATAATCAAAATTTTATTGAACTACTATTTTATGAATATGTGTCAATAAGTTTGATATCAAATTGTAGATTATAATTCAAATTTTAGTATTATACATTAGTTCATTTCTTTATTTAAATGTAAATATAAAAAAAAACTAAATATATTGACAAGCTAGAATCTGAGATAAGAACCTCCTGTCTTTTCTATTTTCTGAGATATTAATACATTTATTGAATCAACCAAGATGACTCTGCCCACCTCTTCCATTTTTTGAAAATACTTACTTACATACAGCCCAGTGATGTGTGTATAACCAATCAAAAGCCCAGAATGTCTCCCTAGTGGTTTTCTCGGCCTCTGTGAAGTATTTGCATGGGTAAAAGTTTTCTTTTCAAGCTAGATTCCAGGCAGTAAGGTATGACATTAGTGAGCTCAAAGAATCATATTTTTTTAGACCCAAATACAGCTTAGTTACTAAGCTTGATAAATTATAGTGGAATTCTGTGGTATTGATATAGTAATTTATGGTTTTTTGTTATTTCAAAATTCATATATAAAATCTAAAAAAAATTATGTTGTTTTACATCCTTCTTGTGCAAAATTTGATAAGGCTTAGCAACTTAAGCCAAGCAACAAATGAGTACAAAGTTCATAACTAGAATAATTGTTTTCTATACTTCATTATTTACTATTCTATGTTTTAAGAAAAAATAACTGAAATTTAAAAACTTGTTTGTAAATAGTAATAATGTATATACATGTATAATATATTATAACCAAAATGTGACTGTATTTTGCAAAACTCTGATCTACTAGAACACAGCTGAGACAGGTCACTTACATACTTACATACTTGGATACGGTAACATGAATGCATGTGCGCCGTGTCATTGCAACTTCTGTAATGTTAGTCAGGCATGGCTGACAGGTCAATAAAACAATAAAATGAAAATATTAAATATATATAGATGTATAATGTTAAGATATTTATGCTAGTTAGACTAAGTATTTGTGTTCTTGTGTTATAGGTGTAGTCATTCTAGAACAGAAAAGTGTAATTTTTTATGGTGATTTCGAGGTTGGTCAAATCAACCAAACCCATACATAGATGCAATAGTGAAAATAATAGATAAAGTTTAAAATTTTCTGATGCATAAAAATATTTTAATCTTAAAATCAAAATTACTTTGCATGTTGAATAGTAAACATTAAAAAAGAAAAAATGGATGAGAAAAACATTTCTTAAAAAATCTTAAAACTTAAAAACAAATCTGTTATTTTGATTATGAAAGCCTTGTAATATGTGCTGATAATATGCAAAGAATATCTAAAATGGGCAATTGAGAGTGTTATGTTACATAGAAGTGAATATTGAGAATTTATATAAATACATCCTTTTGATATAAAGAAGTAAAGACATAGATTAAAATTTGGATTATAAACTACAGTTTGATGCCAATTTTAATGACATACATTGATAATGAAATTGTGTAGTTAATTTTTAATCTAGTTGTGTAAAAATGTGTGACGTGAGCTTTTACCCACTTCTACACATACAGTTGTTAAGAATTAAGTTAAAACTTCAGGAGAATATTACTGTTTATAGAGAAATAACTTCACTAACTAAACTAAAGGTGTGAGCTTGAGAGAGAAAGATAAGAGGTCATAGTATTATATACCAAATTCTATAACACTGTATTCCAAGGATGTAGGGTCCACATATGACACTCTTGGTCAATCTCATTGAAACATAAGGGAGGTTGTTACCATGAAATATCACCTGACCTACCAGTCAGGGAAAAAAACTTGTCCATGGAGCACCAGTTCAAACAAAAATATCTTATTTTATATAGACATCACTACTCATTACTTTCCTTTGCTTATTTTTTTAAATTAAAAAACTTTCAGACCAAGATAAAACTAGATAGAACACTCAATGGAGACAGAACATTGCTGTATATATTCTTGCACAACATGTAGCATTGCAGTCTTCCATGTCCAAATATGTTATTTTCAGAGAATGGCAAGAGAATAACAGCAGCTAGAACAAAATCAACTTTACGATTTTTTTTACCATGTGTTATACTAAAACTGCACACACCCAAAAAATGATAAATTCTGAGATGAAAACTTGCCTCTTCACACACTTTGAGCTATCTTCCTCCATGCATCTGCCAAAGAGACATGCATGCCACTATCCTTGAGGCAACTCCCACCTAATTTCACATGATTTTATGTGAATTGCTCTACTGCATGATGATGTCATCATGTGACACAACTCCATGCACAATGTCTTCCCCCTATGTGCTTGAACTTGTAAGACTTCATTCTTGTCCTTAGCATTGTATTCTACAGATGTGTTTGAATTTTTCATCTGGGTTCAGTTTACTGCAATTTACATTGTCAATAGAACTTTGATTTCTGTTTCCTTTGGCTTTTCTTTCAAAATCTTTAATTTTTAGCCTCTGATGAGCAGCTCATAGAATGGCCCTGTGTTTGTTTTTTCAAGTACAAGCTTTTAGCTCATAGCTCCATCATCTCTTGACTGATTTGAGATATAATTACAATTTTTGACTCGGGAGGTCAAACCCCTTTGATTGGTGTATTTTATCATGTCCAAGATCTCATGGATTAATTTATTCTTATCCTGCCTAAAATAATTTCAATTTGAGGGTAGGTTGGTAGAGACCCTGATGAGTAATAAAATCAGATACACACGCGCCACAAGCTTGGTATTGCTGGCACACAAAAGTATAGCTCATAAAAAGGGAAACAAATGTCTCACAGATTAATTTACTCTAATCCTGCCTAAAAGAATTTCAAGTGCCACAACTATCGAGGATTCTCTCTTGTTTATTATTAGTTTGTTTCATATTTCTGATACCACATTTTACTTCAGCCTAGAATACTGAATTATATATATTTTTAGCTGTAGCATAGTGACTGATAGAATGGCTCTGAGTTTGTTTGTTTTTTCATGCACAAAAATTTAGCTTATAGCTCCATCTCTTGACTGATTTGAGTCTCTTCCATTTCTGCTTTTCTTAATTTATTCTTTTCATTTCCATTTCTCCTCATTCAAACCCAGTCTATGGTCTTTTTCACCTGGTCTGTGGTTGGCCATTGTTGATGTGCAGGATGTCTTCCTACATGTCTATCTTAGCCTGTCCTTCTTTGGTTTTCTTTGTCCTGTTTGTCTTTTTACATTTTCTTATTACATGCTCTTTTTTTGACTAAACATTGGCCCCTCCTGTGTTTGTTGGTATCCTAAAAACCTTTGCTTGCCATATTAACAACCCAGGGCTGATGTTCATATTCTTTGACTATTTATACCTGTTAGTCTATTCTTGGATATTTCATCTTTTATCTCCTTGACTGGGGGGACTTGTGATCTCAGTTCTTTCTTACACCCACTCAGTGTTGGGTACTTTTGGGGATTTTCTTCTTTTGTCTCAACAGAGTTCAACCTATATTCTTTGCTTGTGAGCTATGGCATATCTGTCCCCAGGTTTTACATTTTTGTTTTCTCCATGTGTGATAGTTTTTTTTTGCTTTGGGGAACTCTGGTTTCACTGAATTATTCATTCCTTTGGGGCATGCCCTCATGTACCTCCTACAGTGGACCTTGTGGACCTAAGGTTTTATTTCCTGGGGTTCTTTATCCTCTTTTGTGAGCCCCCTCCTCAATTATTTGTCAAGGTGACTGGACCCTGCCTGCTCTACTTCCTGCATTCCCTTACTGCCTCACAAACCAGATCTTTCTCTTCATCAGTGCTTCTCTCTCTGATTGAGGTACCTTTTTTGATAAGAGCAGGAATTCCAACATTTGGATGCTGGACAGGACTTCCTCCACATTGATGTGCTTGACTTTCTCACTCTTTGTTGGGCATGCTCCCATTTCTGCCCCTCCATATGATTCACTTGTTTATGTTCCACTCAGTCTATTCCTTGATCTTTTCTTGCTTCATCTGTCCCTGTGGCTCCTGTACCATGGCTTTTTTTTGGAGTGATAACTATACACATTTGAGCCTGTTCACATCATTTGCCAGTTGCTTCCATTTCGGTGGCAGACCACCTTTCTCTGTCAGTCTGTATTGTATCAATGAAGTTGCCTCTAAACTATTGTATCTTCTGTGGGGTTCACTCTTGGTTGAAAATTTATCTTTTGGAAGCTTTTGTTACCCTTCTCAATTCCAGGCTTCCTTTCTTATGGTCCTGTGTTCCTCATTAGACTCTGGCTGTCAATTTTCTCAGCCAAGCCTAGTCTTATGTCTTTCTCTGTGCCTACTCCTTTATTTGTCTCTTCCATATAGCCTTGGATTTTCACACTATCCTACTCTTTTGGGCCTATTTTTGGTACCTATTTGACTGTCTTGTTCTGCTTGATAGTTGGATCCCCCCCCCTTTCTCTCCCTACTCTCCCCTCTCACACTTCCCTTTTTCATAGAGGGATATTATCCCTCCATTCTCACACATGGAACTTGCCTGATCTGATGCCAATCAGGCCAGACTTTCCACTTATATGGTTATTCTCATCACATTTTGTTATTTGTTCACTATATTTGTCTATCATCATTTGTAACAGGTCTTCTGTCATTGGTGTTTCTGCCATCCATTTTCTCCTGGTAGTAATTCTGTGCACCACCTTTCTGCCTTTTCTCACCTGACTATTTATTGATGGATTCTTGATCTCTGTAGCCTCTCCCTTCTGATCCATCCTAAGTTCTCCTTCGTCCTCCTCACCCAACTCTCTTGCCTGAATGAGACCTTGTTGAGATTTTGCTTGATCTCTCCTGACTTATTTCCTCCTACTGCTTTCCTTCTGGCTGTTTTATCTCCTGATTGTTTTCAGCTTCCACAGGTTGCCATTCTTCAATCGTCCTGTTGTTTTTAAGAAAAATGCATATTATTTCTCTTTCAGAGCCCCTCTTTCATTCCAAAGGATCCCACCAAGTAGCTGGTGTTGCCTCACTGGATATACTTACCAAAAATCTGCATTAAGCCAACATAACAGAAAGTATATGTACTCACTGTGAGATGAGGTGTTCCTCAAGGCCACTTGAGGTATCCTCATGGTATATTTAATTATATATATCTATTCGCTCTTTTGTACATACTGAGAGAAGTTGTGTAGGGGAAACCTTGAGAAGGTGCCCAGATCTCCATCAGTCTGGAAAGGTCTTTTACTGGAGACAGTGCAATGGATGACTGTGAAACCATATTTTAAAAGCCAGCAAGCATGAGCCCTGATGTTGGTTTTTTGTATGACAGTCCATATGTACAGTATAAACAATAGAGCAAATATAGATACATAATTATATATCACAAGAGTTCTTCATGGTCTACCACCCCAAAGGCTAGGAACTAGTAAGTAGCAAAGATTTCCAGCACTCCACTTGATAAAGGGGCGAGAAGTTGGGTAGGGGAAACCTAGAAAAGGTGCCCAGATCTCCATCAGTCCAGATGGTCTTTTACTAGATACAGTGCAATGGGTGACAGTGAATGCCAATTTTTAAAAAAAGCCAGCAAGCAAGAGCCCTGGTGCTGATTTTTTTCCTATGACAGTCCATGGAATATGTACCCCTTTATCAAGTGGAGTGCTGGAAATCTTTGCTACTTACTAGTTCCTAGCCACTGGGGTGGTGGACAATGAAGAACCCTTACCAATTGAACTTAACTGTTGGGGATAGAAAAAAACAAAAAGGATTACCAACCTAGTGAGGATATGATGACTCCATTAGTGTTGTGTGGGTCACCTCTCAGTAACATGGATACATCTCTCATACCACCTTTACCCTTTTCTTGCAGCCTGAGTCTGTACAATAGAGTTCAAATGTGCAAAAAAAATACTTGAACCAATGCTGCCCTCCTCCTGCAGATTTGGTCTATACCATAGAATCTATTCAGCTGAATTGAGGTGTGCACTCACTATACAATACTCCCCTGTATCTGCTGGTGGTGTAAGTCCTGTAGGGTTTGACTGTAGAGTTGAGATGAGCACTTTGTACAAACCTGTGATGTAATACTAACATATCCTCCCCCAACAGCTGGTATTAGCCCCATAGAGTCTGACAGTAGATTTTAGTCATACGCAAGTATCCATGTTGCATAATGTGCCCTTCTCCTGCAGCTGAAGTCTGACAGTATAGTTGAGGTGAGCACACATATATATCACATGTGCTCTTCTCCCACAGCTGGTGTCAGTCCAGTAAAGACTAATGGTAGAGTTGAGGTGAGAATACAAGATATGATTTGGATCCACCCCAGTCACACCACAGATGGTCATGTTAACATTCCACCCATCCCTGCGAGACAAATTTGACTTCTTTGCCTCTTACCTCTTTCCTGTATGGGTAAAGAATACACTCTGGTCAAAGATGAGATGCGGTCTTCCACAGATGTGCCCCTATGGAGCCCCTGCTATCAGGTGTCACACCCCATGAGCTGTGAGTATCAGTCCTCCACCTTTTCAGTGTAGGATTCTAGCTAAAACTGTGTGTGAAGGCGAGTTATTGTCTTGGAAGTTAAAATTTTTTCTTACCTTAAAATATACTTCCAATAGATATTTACCTCCACATACGTTCCCACCCACTCTCATCACTTCTGGTGCACATTTACTTACTTGTATCACCAAAATACAAAGTTCCACAAATGTAAGCACTTAGGGGGAGTTATTGCGCATGGAGATGTGTTGCCCTCTTATTGGTGGAGAGCTTTTGTAGCATCATCACACAGTAGCACAAATCATGCAAAGTTAGATGGGAGTTGCCTCAAGGCTAGTGGCATAAAAATCTCTTTGGCAGATGTGCAGAGGTGAGTATCTATTTGAAATACATTTTTAGGTAGGGGATATGTTAACTTAAGAATAATACCACATTAAAATAAGAAGGTAGAACTCGTGGTATGTTTCTCATCTATGACCTGAATATTAGGTGTAACCTATGCCTAGTACTGATATTAAAAATGAAAGGAAAATGTAAGGTGGTATTTGAATTTAAAAAAAAAAAATTCTGTTTTTCAGAAACATGACTGGTTTGGAATACATTCTTCTTCATGTGCAAGAACCAATTTTGTATGTTATCAGAAAACAGCACAGACATTCTCCTACTCAAGGTGAACATTAATTCTTTTGTGGTTTTTAGATTTAAGTGCAGTATTCTAAAAAAAAAGCCATAAAATAAAAATGATTGAAAATATTGTCAGGTGTCTTACCTGTTTCTTATATTTAATAGATAACAGTGTTGGATTCAGAAATATGTGAGCATTTAATGTGCTTAGGTTATTAACCCTCTCGCCACGGGTATCTTTTACTGCGCATGATACAAGGTTTTAGTTTCTTACATTCAAAATTTTATTAAACTACTTTTTGTTTATGTTATACCAATTAGTATAGTATAAAACCTTAGCTAATAATCCATATTTTAATAGTATATAAGTTTTAAGTTCTTAATTTTATAAGGCAATGTTTAAAAAACTCCTGAACATCCCCAAGTGTGACACATGTGACGCTCTTTCTCTAGGTATCTTCTCATCTCTATTTTAGCTACCACCCCCTGAAACTATGAAATTAAATGTAAATTACTCACTATAAAATCATCATTGCTCAGACAAACTATAACTTTTATAGCTTTCAATTTTGTTTAGTTAAAAAGAGCTATCAAATAGAAAATTAGACCCCCCTCTTGCCACGCCCACCTGTTACATCCTTTCTTTTAGGATTTGTTAATAGTTCTCTCTTACGTTTGATTATATATTACATATAACTAATTGAAAGTCAAGGTTTTCATCTATCAAATGGCGTATTGTATAATGTTATATTCTGAACAGTTAGAAATCAGTTTCACTCAGAGTAGCAATATCATTCCCATGGAACAGGTAACAACTAGTTTGGATGAATTTGTAATAACTCTTGTCACATAGTTAGAAAGCCAGAAAAATTTTGAAAGGTAAGGAAATTTGTCCACTTTTTGCATGTTATTAGTCTATATTCTTTGGTGCATTATTTAATTAAATAAAAATTATTAAGTGCATTACTATTAATACTATAAAAAATTAGGCTCAACTGTCATCAACAATCGAGAGCAAGAAAAAAGAAGATGGGATAAGTACTTTATTTCTTGTTTTTCATGTTTATTCTCTGTCTAATTATAAAAGTAACTAAAATCTAAAAATATGGACCTTTTTAAGTTATTTAAGACTAGATTAGGTAGAAT